TCAAACCATCAATATCCTCTTCTGGTCTTGAATCTTCATGTTTCTTCAATTTAGAATCTGCCCCAGCTCGAGGGAAATTCCCCCTCCCTGTGCACATTCACTTCAGCCATTGTTTCTGCCTCATAGTCATCATCCTCTAAAATTTGCTCGTTCATTCTGACTACTGCAGAAGGATCATAGCCCGATTCTTTCTTATATTGAGAAACAGGGAGTCCCAAACCATAGCGCCCCGACTTCATTTTAACTCCAGGTTGAGTTACGGGAAAGGGCTCAGCTAACTCTTTCATTGAAGTGCTTTTAGACCCAACCAACTTCAGAGTTCCACTCGGATTCCGTCTTCCATATTTGGCTGACTCCATTGTCGTTTTTTTGCCACAAGAAGAAATATCTGAGCCCAAATAATGACCTGTCTTTTGACCTAGGTTCCGATCCTTCGGTTTCTTCTCCCACAACCCATCACCAGACTCCTCTCTATCAGATGGCTCTGTTCCAAACTCTTCCATGTTCTCATTCATCAAACTCTTCTGACTCTTCATAATGTTCATAACACGAAGCTTCTCCTCAATACTGTAGCCCTTGAAATTCATCCATGCATTCCTTATCTGACAAAGGCTGTTCACCATACCGTTGTGATATTTCCGCAAGTTATGATAATGCTGTCTTCTCTGGAAAAAAGTCAAACCCTGCCTATAAAGCGCCACCCTCGGCTCACACAACCCTCCCTTCAACATCTCGAACAGCTTGTTGACAGGTGTCCCAAAATGCAGGTTTTCACCAGAAAAGAGCTCTTTCAATGTAAGCACAAAATGTTCTTGGTCCATATCAGGTAAGTACTTGGACAGACCAAACCTTTCCTCTTCGGTTAAAACCTCGTTCCACACCTCCATAGACAACACATCTTTTAAACCTGGGAGATCATACAATTCATAGGGAATGCTGCGAGTAAGATCGCCAACCTGGCAAAACTCCTCACCAGTTTCACCAAACTCCAATAAATCGAAGTCATCAGAGCCTGCCCCAGAATCACAGTCATTAAATTCATCATCATCAGATTCAACAGCAGAGGACGAGCGATGCTGCTGCTGAAAATCTTCATCTTCATCGGTAGACATAGGTGTGTCCCTACTGTGTGGCGAATGAAACTCCGATTCAAAACGAGCTAACTTAAAGTTATTACTCTCAATCGCCATTGAACGGTAACATAACCACGAACAACCCACAAATACAAATCACAGCTTACCGGACCATAAGAACGCCGAATTTCGGAAATAACTGAACTCCAATTCAAAACCCTAGATGAAGAAAAACAATCCACATCAATCGCCAAAAAACAAAAAAAAATGAAGAATCTCAATAGAAAATAATCACAGGCCAACACAAAATCAGACACTTAAGAAAAGGCACAGTAACATATATTAAAACCTCCTACCAAAAAGCACAATCTCCAGTTCCAACATTATACCACCCCAATTCAAACCCTCAGCCAAATAAAAAGATCACCACATTACAGAATACGGTCAAATTTATGCAGGATTAAAAAAAAAAAAAAAACCAATTCCACCAGACAAGAAAAAACAAATTAAAAACTAATAAAACACTCTGAAATGCTTCATCAGAGAGCTGAAGAGTGAGATTGGGATCAAAGCGCACCTGAAATTTGTTGGTTGAAACCAAAAAAAAAAAGTAATCGAAAGCGGCAGAAACGCGCAGAGGAATTTCTGGAGTGATCGCGAATACCTTCAAGCGTTGAAACCCTAGCAATAGATATCTAAACGGGGAAAAAAGGTTAACCAGGAAGTTATATGTGTGTAGAGAAAGTGGGGGGGGGGGGGGTGGG